GCACGGTGCTGCGGCTTCTGAATAAATGAAAATGACAGATTTTCTTTTCTGGATCTCTGACAGACGAACTTCAAATCAGAACTCGTAAAGTTTTTCTTTTTAATTATCGCTGCCATTTTCATGAATGGACACTTCCTTGTATCTGAGGCAGGAATCATAGCCTTATATGGTGTTTTTAGGGTGGTAATTATGCTAATCTCCTCTCACGTGCACGAGCAGCTGGATAGAACAGGTGTAGTTTACGCAGCTCATTTACGCACTTTTCCTGAAGATAGAAGAGTTTGTTGAATCTGACGTGACATGTTCATACAAACCCTTTGTACGAACAAAAGTAAGAGAAATTTAGGATAAAAATACGAACATGTTCTTGCATGAGGCTTGGTTTGATTTCTTTGTATGTATGGATCACTTGGGTTGTTACCAACATCTGGTGAAAATTTCATGTCATTAGCACCTCTAGAAATATATTTACTGAGAAAAATGGTGACGTGTTCAAGACTTATTTTACCCACTGTATACATTTCAATGTGTTATAGACGACTGCTGGACAAAGGCACCAGTGAAAACAGACTAACTTAAAACTTGAAAATGTTCCTCATTTATTCACTTTTATTTTTTTTAAAAATGACATTTTAAATATATTTACCTTTTGTTAATGTTTTCAAAAGGTGCATCTTTTATTTCTCCTGATTTTCCCGCCCCAGTGATCGATGGTCCCCGGCAGGTGGCAGTGAAGGATGTCACAGACTCCTCAGCTCTGGTCAGCTGGTCCCTTCCTGTGGCTCCCACAGACAGAGTCACCATGGTTTACATGCCCAGCTCAGACCTCTCAGACCAAACCACGGTGGAGATTTCACCACCTGACAAACAGTACAGCATTGATGGTCTGAGGCCAGATACCAAGTACAGTGTGTCACTCATTTCAAGGTGGGGAGATGCCTCCAGTGATCCTGTCACCTCTACATTTATCACAGGTGGGCATTTATTGCAAACAGTTTTTTATTCTTTTCATTTCTTACTGAATATTTGTTTAGTATAGAAAATTTATCAACTGTTAATTTGTAGAAACTGGTAAACTAAAGGCCTTGAAGAAATACATATAACCCATAGCCCTTAATACCACAGTTTTAGTCTGAGATCAACATATATGGAGAAATAACATTTATAGATTATTTTGGTCGAACCTTGAAAATAACCTTATATGAAAGCTCATGAGATATTTTGAGACTTTAAAAGATCTTACAAGATTACTAGTCAGTTCACGCAGAGTACAATCTTTTATTAGGATGATTTTAAAAGTTCATGCAATGATTACTTTCTGATAATTTTTTTTAAAAATCATTGAGTGGTTTATAAAATATTATGCTAACAGACAGGGTTGACTGACTGTCAGCTATACTTAGCTGTGATGAGACCTTCCATTAAGAGTAACACCATCAATGGGAATGCAACACTTCACTATATTTACAGTATACAGGGTAATGGCTGAAGAGTTTAATATGAACAAACAAAGAAAAGGACTTAATTTAATTTGTATTTTGGAGGGATTCAAATTTAAGCACATGTATGGGGTGCCATTTGTAAAGTTATACAGTCAAAAATTACCAGCAATATTTTTATTTTATTTAACATTTTATAAGAAAAAAAGAACAGATTTAATTTTCAAAGTCAGTTTTTCACCATATGATTCATATATTTATAAATGTCATAGTTAATACACTAAATATTTAGCCTTTTAGAAGGAAAATGGGTTTAATTTTCACCTGATTT